TTTATTATATATATAAAAGTGAGAGAGATATAGAGCACACACACACTCACACAATAATAAAAAATATAAAATCACAAAAACCAACAAAATATATGTGTCTGTATATATATCTAATAATACTATATCACAATAACTAAATATATAAATGTATATATATATATATCATATATATATCTAATATATATATAAATATTTCTATCAATTAATAAAATCTATATCTAAAAAAAAAACAAAAAAATAAAAAAAAAAATATACATATACATATATATATATATATATATATATATATATATATATATATATATATATATATATATATATATATATATATATATATATATATATATATATATATATATATATATATATATATATATATATATGTATGTATGTATGTATGTATGTATGTATATTCTTTGTTTAATTATGTTGTATATTTTATAGTTTTTAGTTGATTTAACTAGCTAATAAATAGTCGGTTCAGTCGATAGATGAAATGCTGAGTCGAGATGCAAGTCTGTATCCAGTCAGTTATACAAGGAATGCAATTGAAGTCAACCATGAAGATATGCAAAGTCAAATTCGATGATTCTTTGCTCGACTTCATTATCATGTATGGCGTGTGTTCGTGCTGGTGCTGTATATATGACTCGTGTTTATACATGTAGAGAAACAAATTTGAGATTATTAATGTTTAGATTGTCTCTGCAAATGGCTGTGGAATGATTATTATGATTGATTTTATGATGATGTAATTATTACTATCTTGGTTTAAGGGTTTTGTGATTATGTCATAAGTTAAGGTGACTCGAGAAACTCTGGCTCACTATTTTTTTACCAAGTGTAAATTTGAAATTGATTAGTGATGTAACAAGGTCAATCAAGCTTATGACTATGTATTTTCGTTTTAAATTTTTCCCATATTAAAAAATAATTTCGATGAAAAAATAAAATAAAAAAATCAAGGGTCAATCAAGATTATCTATTGGTCATGACCAACTTTTATTTATGGGAAAAATACAGTTTCTTCCCCTAGTTTAATCCTATAGCCCAAAGGCTTGATTCGATCTTTCACCTTTGACGAATATCATCCAGCAGAACAAAGATGAAATTTAATGAATATTATTTAAACACCACCAAACATTGCAATTAGAAACAACATAAATCAAAGTTGCAAAGAAATAATTTCACTCAATCAACACGCATTAGGTAGACAACTCGCAATAATTTCTTGTCAAAAAAAAAAAAAAAAGCACTATCTTTAATAAAACAACCCATTAGTCAAAATTAAAGTCAAACAAACCGCAACAAATTAATCAAATAACAACATAAGATTTGCTCATGTAGAATTGGAATTAATTAATTAAATTCGTTCTAAAGTTTATTTTCTTAAATTAACTGAATCCCCTTACAAAATTACCGTGTTGCCATTCTCCAAGCTAAAAATCAGAACACAAACACATTCAAATGGCTGGCAATATGATAATGCTCAACATTCTTTTTGCCTTCAAAATAAGCTTTTATCGTCATATTTCTTTAAACGAACACAAAGATGAGAACAACTCGGAGAATTACGCATGAACATGATAGAAATAATCATAGTACAACCTAGTCTAAAAACGGCCTCAAAGGGGAAAAAATAACACAAATTGGCCGTTGCATATATATTATAGCAGAAAATATAAAATCGTTCAATATGATTTTAGGCTTCGGAACGCTTGCCATGGAAATTTGTTAAACGAACACGAAGATGAGAACAAACTCGAAAAAATTAGCAGGCTTTTCGTAAAAAAAAAAGTGGCATTCATAAGTTAATTTGTTGTAATACACTAACATAGTCATTAATTCATTATCATTGGCATAATCCTTCAATGGATCTGAAAAATAGCCAAGACATAAATTAGTTGCCGCGGATCCTTAAATCAAATCAAATCAAATCAAACGTCTTTTGCAATACCTGATTTGCTTTTATTGTAATTTTTTAGTGAAGTCGAACAAAAAATTGTTTCTCTGAATATTCGATTCTAAAATGATAAATTGAAACATTCATGTGCAATGAAATATTCTCTTCATTAAGTCTCCTTACAATAGATCTCATAAATGAACTCCCAAGAAACTGGCAAGTGCTGCAAATATTATCACATGAGGAAACTGATCGCAGAAATTAGATCTAGTGAAAAATTAACAAACAATAAAGAAAAATGCATTTAAAAGGTTTACTAAATAACACAATGAAGAGTGTTAAAACAATCAAACTATTGATATCAAATTGTACCAAACCAATAAAAAAACATATCTGGAATAGCAGACCGCCACCAAACAGTTAAGCAGATGATGCGTTCGGGAAACAGTACTATTGCATCCAATATCTTACACCATACCTTAGAAAAGAAGAGCAACAAATTATATCAGAAACTCATTTCTTAGGAATTCTACAACCAAATAAAAATATATAAAAATTAGAAATTAAAAAAGATAATAATAAGAAAGAAAACATATAGAACTTGGAGACGGGACAATAAACTTACTCCTTTCGCAAAAGAGTTTTGAACCAAGAAGTAAAAGCTTTTTTTGTGTGAAAAATACAGGCACATTAAGAAAATAATGAGGCATGGATTCAATAATCTGAAATTTCTTAATAAAGAAAACCCGTGTAAATCAGATCTTAAACGGGCGCGCAAACACATTTAGAGGTCAATTCTTCATAAGTAAAATAGCAACCTCAGTTGGAAATCATCAAACAAAAATAGTGATAAAAATTGGAAGAGTAAGTAAATTCAAGACTTTATCATCATCATCATAAATTTTATATAAATTATGGGTAAACCAATCTACTAAAGAAATAAAAAAAGAAGAAAAGCCAAAACATCAATATAAGAAAAAATAGAAGAAAAGCACTAAATTCAAACATAGCACAACACCAATGGTACTCCTGTATATTAAGACTGAAGTAGATAAAAAAAAAAAAAAAAAAAAACATACCGACAAACAGTCAAGCAAAATCTCTATATGGCCGCTATTTTAGAGCACGACAGGTGATGTTAACGATATGATAGATGGCGTAGGAAAAAAAAAATGCTCAAAATTATGAAATTCCAAAATTGCCCCTTGGGCTACATCTAGGGTTTCGTTTTTATATATAAATATAAGTTGTATATAAATAAAAAAGTACCACCCTAATCCATTCTCCTTCGTTGCACATCTCTAAACACAAGAAAAAAAAAACTATCCTTCGTTTCAAGAGAAGTATCTGAAGAAGCAATGGACAGAGATTCAATAATGGTGACTCTATTAACTGTAATAACTGTCTTTGCTGTACTTATAAAACTCCGTCTTCGCAAGAAAAAGCAGCCATCTTTACTACGTATGTATTACGATACCCTAATCTTTTATTAACTAAATTATTTTGTTTTTTTTTTGTACCAACCTAATTTTTATATGCACATCAAACTGCCAGATGATGATGATGTTCTTCAGATGACACGTGGCCCTGTACCTAACATCCAAGACATGCATCTGCGCTGTTCCGGGCTTCTACCACGCGACGTTCTCAACGACCGTAGCCGTATCCACGACCCGAACTTGATTATCGACTCGCTCGATTGGATCTTGAGTCGTCGTTTCGGTTCCAAGGTGCATTCCCTCGATTTACTCTGTTGCTTGAGCAAGTGCGTCGCCAGTCGTTTCGAGGAGACGGTTATTTGTTCCGTGGAGAGATTGCGCGTCGAGAATTTTGTTTTGGTATGCAACTGCTATAGCCACACGTCTCACGATCTTCCCTTTTCTTGTCACTTTCTTTCCGAGATGCACTCGTTGAAATATTTCCAGCTGCGCTTGTGCTCTTTGCACCCGAGCTGGAGAAGCCAACGTAATTATTCGCTCCAGACACTCTATCTTTCCGAGGTTACGGTTTCGTCTGGTGCCGTAGAGTGCGTTTTGTCGACTTGCTCGATGCTCCACACTTTGAGAATTGTTAATTGTAAATGCCCTTCTAAGTTACGCATACGTGGCATCGACCTAGAATTGAAGACTCTCGATGTTAGTGCTTGTGAAGATTTAGAGGAGATAGATTTCTTCGCCGGTAATCTCGTCAGATTCGATTTTTTTAATAATCGAGAAACGGTTAACATTGTATTCAACCACGTCCCGAAGCTGGAATGTATATTACTTAAGCTTGGTCCGAATCTCGAGGGGAGCATCATCGAGCGTCGTGTTTTAGGGAAAATCGAGGAAGATTTGCCTCACCTGAAATCATTGATCATAGTTATCATCGAAGGTGATAGTCTTGAGGTATGAGAAACGTCCTCGATTTCTTTCGCTCCCCGTTTGTGAATATTCTTTGTTACTATTTGATGTATGACTTTCTTGACTTTGTGTTTCTTAATTCTTAGGAAAGAATCAGATCTATCGGGATTAACATGTTCAAAAATATTAGGCAATTAAGTATCAACGTATACCGTTTGGAGAAAAAGATCGATCTTTTTGTGCTGACTCCACTTTTGCAATGGTGCCCGTGCCTACAGGAATTTCACGTCAATGTAAGTATTGTGGTACAATTGTTTTTTTTCGAAACTTTTATTAGTACTATCACTTCATTGGTAACGAGTTTGTTCCTTTCGTGTTTCAAATATTAGAAACTTGAGAAAAAAAAAAAGAAAATTGATGTTTGTAATTGGTTGTAGTTGAATAATAATGAATATGACGTGGCGCAAGGAGAAAGGAAAGCGATAGTATTTCACACAGAGTTGAAGAAAATGGTATTTACTGGATTTTATGGGATGGAAAACGAGATCGAATTCGCTACTTACATACTCGCAAGTGCGACGAGCTTAGAGAAAATGGTGATATGTAGGTGTACTAACGTATACATCGGACCTGGCAAGTGGTTCCAGTTCCGTACAAGACGATGGAGTGAAGAGACACCTGAGATAATTCGCACGAAATTACAAGGAAAAGCTGTTTCGAAGATTGCAGAAGTGATTCTCCAACCCCGACCGGTTCCCAAAGATTGCAACAAGAATTTCATGTAGCTTTTTCGGCTTTTATCTTAGGTTTTGTTTTGATTTTTCTACGTAGGTTTTGGTCGAACAATTTTCCTCTTAATTTACCACTTGTGGAGAGTAAATATATTTTGATTTATATCAATTTCCTTTATCTTTTTGTTTTTTCCGCCATTTATATTTGTATAATTTTCATCAATTAAACGAAAACTATTATTAGTTCATTAAGATCCATTCATTTTCTTTACCTCCAAGTTATGAATTGCTAATAAGTTTATTATCATAATTCTATGGGACTACGTGTGACAAAAGTATACAACGATCGTAAACTAGAAAATAAAAATACAAGTCATAATGATTGTCAATCAATACACCATTTTTGTTAGTTATCCACAAATAGTTATTCATTAAATCAATAGTACATAAACAACCATTGAACTTATATCATGGAAAACTTACAATAATCGTAAATCAATCATCAAAACACTGCTTCGCTAAAGGCAATTTAGTCTTCTCGCGTTCAACCTGGAGATTCTAACTAATTTAAAATGAAATTTGAGTGTGTTCAAAAAGATATTTAAAATCAATTGAGTTTGGTTTAAATTATTTCCAATTTGAGGGTATTACATATTTCCCCATATTTAATGCATTTTGCCATTTTATTTTATTTTTTTAATTTTTATTTGCTGGGCCCACATCACCTGCATCTAATTATAGAATGAGATCTTCTTTGACTCCTATAAATCGAGTCTTTTCAGAAATTTAAAAGTCGTGAGCAGCTGATTCTTCATAAAACGAAAAATGAGCGAATATGTATACAGTATACGTTGAGAACTACATAAAAATCACTTAAATTTATATTGAAAAAATCCTAGTAAATCACCGTAAAAGCATATATGATTCTATTAATCTTAATTTCAACATTCAGCTAATCAAGATTATTCTTTTAATCTTAATTTATTGTAATTGTTAGCCCTATAACATTCACTTAAATATTTATTTATTTTTATTTATTATTTTTTCTGTTTTGTCAAATTTTATTTAGGTGAAAATTCTCCATCGTTCAATTCAATTTATATGAAAAACAATTGATGCAATAGTTTCACAGTTGGTGACATGTCTGCCTGGAAAAAATAAATCTTTATAATAAATGAAGCGGATTTCTTTTATGGGTTCCAGGTGATTTTTTGAATTATTTGCCTTTGTAATATTTATTTTTTTCTTATTTAATTTTTGGTAATAATAAAATTGAAGGAGAAAATAATAAAATCCGAAAAGTCAAGGGGTAAAAATGTAAAAATAAAAAAATATAATGGGCTCCCTCCCTATATACGCGTATTATGACTAGGACCCCTAAGACATGGTTCAAATCTCCCCAATTAAGACGGCATTTTGTCTGATTATAGACCGCAAACTTATTGTAATTGCAGTTTAGCCCTATGAAAAATATAAATTATTATATTAAATCTTAATTTATTGTAATTGCAGTTTAGCCCTATAACATTCATTTAATTTTCTAAAGGGTGTGTACCATATAAATAAGACGTATAGGACTTGGTTCAAATTTAAAGCAAGTACTTTTTATGTTGGTTATTGGTTGGTATGTCAAGATGGTGATTTTAATAAGGTATCTTGTAGTTTTGAATATTAAATTTGACCACAATTTGTAATAATAAAATCATATATTAATATTATGTTTTTTGGTGCAAAATTTCAATTATTAATTTAATTGGAGGCAGTCAAGATTTGAAGCCACAGGCATGTAAGATTAACAAATGTCATTGCTGGTGGAAGATGTAAATAAAGATAAAACTGTATTATTGATTCATTTATTTAATAAATATAATTATCATCTGAAATGGATATACTATATTGCAATTTGCAACTTGCACTAGTAATTGAATAAAGAAAAGAAGGAAATGGCCTGCAGTTGACCATCTCAATGGGAGGAAAAGAAAATTGCAACATGTACTAGGTTTGTGTTTGACTTTTGACTTTATTGTTCCTCTTTTTAATCACACTCACACCTCTATAAATTATTAGTTGGATTATCAAAATTATATTAATTTAACGAAATATTAATTTTCGAACCACTGATTTGGAAGGTACTTACCGAGTTGGGACCAGTAAAAACTATTATTTAATCAGGGTTATTAATTTATCGAGGTTCTACTATACTCGAAGCTCAAAATAATTTTTACTTTTTACATTCATAAATGGAACTAATACATGTATATTTACTTTCAAATAAATGTTAGTCTTATTGGGTTTTGATTCAAAAGTTTATTGGGCCCATCAAATAAATATTAGTCTTATTGGGTCTTGATTCAAAAGTTTTTTTTATTGGGCCTATAAAACAAACTGAGTATGCTCAATTTTCTTTATACAATATTTTTTTGTTCTAACTTCTAACAATTTATTTTATACAATATTTTTTTTCAGCAATATCTTTTTTTATACCAACAATATTTTTTGTTCAACATTACCTTTTTTTATACCAGTTCCACAGCAAGAATATATTTAACAATATAGCAATATATTCTCTTATACCGCTTCCATATTCAACAGTATATCAATATACTTTTTTACACCGATTCAACCATATATTTTTTTTATACAATACTTTTTGTTCAACAATATTTTTTTTAATACCTGTGCCACAGCAAGATATATTCAACAACATACTTTCTTTATACAAATTCCTTCCACAGGAAGAACATATTCAACAACATGTTTCTATTTTTTTCTTATCAGAGCAGTCCCTTAGCGATCGCCCTTCCTCCATTTGGAGATGGCGTCATCAATTTCGATTGCTTTTATCACCACAGCTCGTAGAATGCAAACGAAAATAAGCAATCCTATCATTCTTCTAAGAGTGTTCAACGAAGATAGAGTATCTTCGAAGAGACTACGAACGTAGTAAGAGAGAATTACCAGCATTAGAATGATGGTCCAGCTCGGCATACCCAGCCAACCGAGAGCCTCAAAAAATTGGATGCTGAGCCAGTTGAAAGAAGCAGCAACGCAATCAAACGCAGCAGCACACCGTATCCGCATCCAATCACTCGCAGCAGAAGACCGCATCCACATATAACAAATAGCAGCACGACACAAACCGAGAGCAGCCGTAAACCAGCCGATAGCTGCAGCAAACTTCATTCGCACCCAATGGAATGCAGTTGCAAGTAGCATGCCCAGCCAAACAAGCTGAACAGAAACTATTAACTGCATTCGCAGCCAATTAATAGCAGCATATCTTCGTTTTAGGGCAGGCTTACCCAGATCTGGCTTTTCTTCAGGCTCTATCGAGACAATGAAAACTGGATACTTGTTTGCTTTCTCAATAATTGCTTCTTTCGTCGCCCGATCTACATCAAATGGGATTATCAGTTGAACTCTAACAGCAGCTTCAAGTGCTGCTACCGCAGCATCATTGTTGGGGATTCCGAAGCTATCGGGACTTCGAACAATCACGTTAAGAACAACTGTACCACATCCAGCCATCTAGAAGAATAAAATTCAACAACAAAATTACTATACCACTCAACAACTTTTTAACACACAACTTAACGTAAAAATAGCATTAACTTCAGAATACTGTATAACAATGCACGACATGCACTAAATCAGTACCATCATAAACTCAACAAAAAATAGCATTAACTTTAAAAGACATGCAGCAGAGGCGAATTTCCCTCATAGCGAAGTTCCACAACAATGAATGCAACGACCTAAAACACTTTTTAAAAACTCAGACGTAGCTGAATGGAGAGAAGATCAATGGCTCCTCTTAAAGAAACGAGAGGATAACACATAAGATAGACCAGAATCGAGGCCGTACATACATCATTCCAAATTCAAACATACATCATTCCAAATTCAACAGAAAAACTCAAATACTTTAAACTAAATAGTTTTTAAAGTAATGTACAATACCTCGGAGTGCGAGCGTTAAAATCAACCTGCAGATCACATAATTATAAAGAATTAGTACTTCATTAACACATTCAAGTAATTTCAGAGTATTATCAAGTTCGTCGACAAAAACTGATAATTAGACGTGAAATTTACAACGAAAACAGTTTATGCATCTTACAATTCAGGGTAAAAATGACGTATACAACCGGGTCGGGTCGCTCAATTTCAGGAAATTGAGGCGGGCGTACTCGCCGCGGAGCTTGTACGCCGCCCCGACATAGGCCTAACCTAACCATTCGGGAAACCATAATTGGTGCAGCACAAGTATACAATCAAACGAAGACCTTATCATTTTTAAAAACCCCAAATCACTGAAAATTAGTTCAGATCATAACATCAACGATTAGCCCTGATTTTATCATCGCAATAAAACCCTAATTTATCGAATTCAACAATTTTTAAAAGTAACACGGAGAATAATAAATTAATTGATAAAATTCAAACCTGGGAATAGAAGAACTGAGCGAGAATGTGAAGAAGAATCACGGTTAACACAGCGAGAATGCGAGAAGAAATTTCTACAACAGAGCGAGAATGTGCAGAAAGCTATATGAGAGTATGAACCTGGTAACAGAATGTGCAGAATAAGTTGTGCAGAAATTTCTAAAACACTTTTTAAAAACTCAGACGTAGCTGAATGGAGAGAAGATCAATGGCTCCTCTTAAAGAAACGAGAGGATAACACATAAGATAGACCAGAATCGAGGCCGTACATACATCATTCCAAATTCAACAGAAAAACTCAAATACTTTAAACTAAATAGTTTTTAAAGTAATGTACAATACCTCGGAGTGCGAGCGTTAAAATCAACCTGCAGATCACATAATTATAAAGAATTAGTACTTCATTAACACATTCAAGTAATTTCAGAGTATTATCAAGTTCGTCGACAAAAACTGATAATTAGACGTGAAATTTACAACGAAAACAGTTTATGCATCTTACAATTCAGGGTAAAAACGACATATACAACCGGGTCGGGTCGCTCAATTTCGGGAAATTGAGGCGGGCGTACTCGCCGCGGAGCTTGTACGCCGCCCCGTCATAGGCCTAACCTAACCATTACCTTGATATTTTGGGTGGTTGACAAGACTTGGAAAATAACAAATACAATTTTCACAAACAACAACGGTGCAGTTAACGTAATTACACGATGAACAACGATCGAATTTCATATTCGGGAAACCATAATTGGTGCAGCACAAGTATACAATCAAACGAAGACCTTATCATTTTTAAAAACCCCAAATCACTGAAAATTAGTTCAGATCATAACATCAACGATTAGCCCTGATTTTATCATCGCAATAAAACCCTAATTTATCGAATTCAACAATTTTTAGAAGTAACACGGAGAATAATAAATTAATTGATAAAATTCAAACCTGGGAATAGAAGAACCGAGCGAGAATGTGAAGACGAATCACGGTTAACACAGCGAGAATGCGAGAAGAAATTTCTACAACGGAGCGAGAATGTGCAGAAAGCTATATGAGAGCAATGAAAAAGTATGAACTGGTAACAGAATGTGCAGAATAAGTTGTGACAGCTCGTTTTCCCGCTTCATTCTTTTTTGGGTAAATTACAAACGCCCCTGAGGTATGGTTAAATTACAAAAATCCCCCTCTTGTTTGGATAATTACGTCTACCCCTCAACTATGATTTTTTCTTAGACCTCCATCATTATGGTGCCAAATTCAACATAGTCATCTAGATTCCGTGAAATGTGCTCTAGTTTGTACTCGTTTTGCGTAAAAAATACAGTTTCCGATGCACCAGATATATACAAGCTAAAAAATCACATATTATGGTCATCTTGCTTCATAATGTAGAGTTTGAATGGGATAAAAATGGGTACAAAAGTGATAATAGTACATATAATCTCGAAAATTCCACTAAATTTGAGGAGTTGAGGGGTGGTTGTAATTATCCAAACAAGAGGGGTGTTTTTGTAATTTGACCATACCTCAGGGGTGTTTGTAATTTGACAACAATGCTTCTCTCTCTAAAACAAAACAAATATCTATTCTCTCTCTCTCTATGAATAAATGAACCGCCCACATCTGCCTCCATAAAACGCAACTCTCTTTCTCTCTCTAGAAAACGGAAAAAAGAAAAATCCAAAACGGATCCAAACGACGAAACTGACCCAAAATAATTAAAGAAAAGCCCCAATTCTTTTTTACCCCAAACCAAAGAGGAACCCTAACCCTAGCCGCACACACTCACAACACACACGTATAATCTTTTATTCTCTCTCTGCTTTCCCTTCTTTATTCACTCCGTGTCAATCTGTAGAACACAAATTGAATCGAATTGGGTTTTTTTTGGATTGATGGTATTTTAGGGTTTGGTTTTTTTTGATAAAATGGGATGCTGCAAGGTTGGTGGTGGTGTAATTGGGTGGTGGATGCGATGACCGGCGGAGGCAGATGCCAGAAGCGGAGGAAATCCATGGCCGGTGGTAGGGGCACCGCCGTCGCGAAGAAAATTGATACTAATTGCAAGAGCCCTAATATAAAGCCCGAAATTACAGAAAAGCCCTTGGGTTCCCTAGAAATTACAAAAATACCCCATAATTTCAATTTTGAGCTTGATTTATTCACTCAAGCTCGTAAAGCACTTTCCTTCCGTTCCCCTTTTGATTCTGAGGACTCCCAGGTACCTCCCGCCTTTGTCTCCAGTGCAAATACTCTGCCTAGTAGTGTGTCACATCTGTTGGGTAGGCAGGCTGATAGTCGGAAACGGCACAAGAAGTTGCATTCGGGCTCGGATAAGAAGTCATCTACTCCTGGTAGGCCACGTGTGAGCAACATTTGGGTTGAGGTCGAGGAGTATTTTCGGGAATTGACTGTTGAGGACGTCGATCAGCTTCATGGGGCTTCAAGTATTGAGGTTTCCAGTAACGAGAAGTGTTTCTTGATTCCATCCTTGAAGAATGACGACAATTCCCATTACCGTTACGACATATTTAATAAGATTCTTGAAAGTGCTTGTGAGAAGGATAGCTTGAACTTGGGAAATAGTGCCCCATTGAATAGCAATGGGGAGCTCGAGTTTAATGAAATGGCGGCACAACAAGACGATGGGCCTCACTCTATGGATGTTGATAGTGTTGAGGTAGAAAGTCGAGAATTGGAAATTAATGAAGAAAATAATGGAGAGAAAATACTAAACACTGAGAAAGACTCTATATCTTTTAATGGTGTAGAGTGGCTTTTAGGATCTAGGAGTAAGATTTATTTGGCTTCCGAACGGCCATCCAAGAAAAGGAAACTTCTGGGAAGAGATGCAGGGTTGGAGAAGCTCCTTGTGGCACGTCCAGTTGAAGGCGTCGAGTCTGTTTGTCATTATTGTAGTTATGCTGACACGGGCAATCCCTTGAATTTGTTGATTAAGTGTAGTTCATGTGGCATGGTAGTACATCAAAGATGTTACGGAGTCCAAGAAGATGTAGATGGTTCGTGGATGTGTTCATGGTGTAAACGGAAAAATGTTTCGGATTTGATACCCGAGACACCTTGTTTACTTTGTCCGAAGAAAGGGGGTGCTCTGAAGCCTGTAGAGAAAAGGGGGTCTGGGAGTGAGAACGAAGGGTCTGAGGTAGAGTTTGCTCATTTATTTTGTTGCCAATGGATGCCTGAGGTTTATATGGAGAACACCAGGACCATGGAACCAGTCATGAATATGGATGACCTAAAGGACACAAGAAGGAAGATGATATGTTATTTGTGCAAGGTCAAGTGTGGTGCATGTGTCAGGTGTAGTAACGGTATGTTTTGCTGCTTTCTAATGTTACAATCCCCTATATTTCGTGTTGGCTCAGGGCTGAAGAATATTACGTGTTTGGAATCTATGACTATTGATATGTTCTTATAGCACTACGGGATTGGATAGTTTCTGGTTATAACCATATATTGTTGTGATTATTTTAACCAAATAGTTGATCTGTCCGGAAAGTTTGTCATGTTTCAAGCATTTTTGTAACTGTATAACTGCATGAGAGAATAAAATTGATGGTTTGTCTAGCCCATTAAATGGTGAATGAATGCATTGTTGATGAATTGTTCAAGTTTATAGCAATTCATCCTTTTTTGTTACTTAGTCTTATTTCATTTTCTGAGGGTACGCGTGTGTATGCAGGGACTGAAGTGGCACCTTTAAATTGTTAAACGTACATACTACCACTTAACTTTAATATACCAAGTTCTCGAATTTTCATTTTCTATACTATTTAAAATGACCGTTTTCTCCAGGTTGTTCTTAGCCCCAGTAAGTGGGGTTGTTCAAAATAGCAAGTCTTTTGGCATCTAATTTTTTTCAATATTGATATTAACAATTACAAGTTAATTTGGAGTTCCAATAAAACAATTGAATGCTTTCAAAACTCTCTTTAACTGTCAAGAAACTGTAAACAAATAGTTCATGCAGCAGAACAATGTAAGGTTTTCCTCCATTGAGGTTGGGATCCATTACCACAATTATAATAGTTTGTAACCATTTGATTTAGTACGTGGTTGGTAATCCCATTGACATGGTTTTGTTCTTACTGGAATTAAGCAATATTGGCTCGGAAGTAAATCATTTATCTTGAAAATTTAGATCTTACTAGAACAAAGTTGCTATTGCTACTAGTATGGACGTTTCATATTTTAGGCGTTTCTCTTCTCATATGATAGATACTATGTAACTGGTTCCTTGTATGAATTTATGCTGTCATAGGCCTTCCTTATTCATGCTGACTCAACACACCTTAACGTGGATTATGTACTAGTATAGTTGTTACAGAAATTGATTTCCATTAAAAAAATTTAATGGTTGAGAACATATTGGTTCTGAAGGTTCCTTATTTTATTGTATGAATAAGCTCTTCGGTTTCGCACTGGGTGGTTGTTTGTCATCATATTTATATGTTCATTCAGGACCATTTATGTTACTTGCTAGGGCTTCAACCCCTTTTTCATGAATTAAAATAATTTGAGGATGAGGATAACATAATCTTCCTCTGCTCTTCTAGATATCAACTGTGCTTCACTTTTCTATTATTATTATTATTATTGTTTATTTTTATTTTTCCTGTTGCTGGTTTGTTCTAATTAAGTATTCATTTAATAGGATCTTGTAGAACTTCATTCCATCCTATTTGTGCAAGGGAGGCAAGACACAGAATGGAGATATGGGGAAAACTTGGATCTGATGAGGTGTGTCTCTTCTGTTGTTGAATTAACGATGAAAATAACAATAGCTGCTACTATGATTTAAACATTGCGAATATATGGTTCTGTTAATTGTGGATTCTGTATAGTAAAATATTGTAAATATTGAATTTTCTTTCCCTTCAGTTGTTGATTCTTCAAATATATACAAAATTTCTTTTAGGTTGAATTGCGTGCCTTTTGCTCTAAACACTCAGAAGTCCAGTATGATATTGGCAGCCAAGATGCTGGAGATGTTTCCTTGACAGGTACTTTTGTTTCTCATGTTAGTAAGCATCAGGACATTGCTTTAAAAGTACATGAATTTCACAACCTGGGAGGTTTCCTATGATATGATGATAAATTGGGTATTTGCATTTAAACACTTGACCTGGATCTTAGCAAGCTCAATGAAATTGTGTTAAATGCAGAGGACTTACTAGACAACAATGGAAACACGGAGTCACATCAAGAAAATGGAGATGCACTAATTCCTGCTGCTAAGTATTCGGTGGATAAGAATGACAATGGAGATGTCAACCCTAGCTTTGCTCTCAATTACACTATGATACTGAAGAAGGTACTATAAGATCATCCACTATGACCAACAATTTTGTTTTTATGGGTCAGTTAGTTACCTTCATTTTTTTTAGTTGATTGATCTAGGGAAAGTTAGTGCTGAAGATGTGGCTTCAGAGATTGGTGTTCCACCAGATTCATTGAACACGATACTCACTGTAATGTTTCATCTTAAGCAACTTTCTCCTTTGCTCTTATTTATTTATTTTATTGAATTACTCGAATGCGAACATGATACCAGTACTGGTCAGCTGATTTGAGCTGAAAATTTATTTTTCTATACTAATCGGTTGGTGGAACTTGCGTTTTACCACGTAACACTTGCTCTGCCTTCTTATCTTGTTTGTCTTAAACTGTTTGGGCAGGATAACCACATTGTTCCCGAGTTACAAAATCAGCTTCTTGGTTGGTTTAAAAACCATGCTCATATTGATCACCCACAAAGGACTTTGAAAGTGAAGAATAGATCCCTGGTAACATCCAAAGATGTGGCAGATGTAGCTGAAGGTGATGGTACTGTTCCATTAGAAGATTCTAGTGTTTCTGATGCTGTTCCAGTGAAATCTGTTCCACCTCGCAGAAGAACCAAAAGCAGCATAAGGACTGTGATAAGCAATTTATGCTCCTCTATGGACAAGACTAATGACGAGAAGATCGAGACTGATGCTGGAGAAGATTCAAATGGTCCATCCAGAGACTCTTTTCCGGATGAAAAGGTATGATTATATCAATCTGATGCTGCTCTATGTAGGAAATTTTGTCTAATTGTGAAGAGTAACTTCTCTGCTAATCAAGATGGGAAAAAGTTAATGTCTACTTTTGTGTGGCCTATCTAAGATATATTCTCACACGTTTTCGCATCTGCTGTTGCAAAGTTCCAAAGTTAGTGTTGCATTTGGATGTTTTATCATCCTTGATATCTTCTCATGTACATGTTTTCGTGACAGTGCATTCATTATCGTCACTATATTTTCTCTCTTGTAGAAGTGTTGATGAGAAAGGATCGATTAATGGGAAAATTCTTATAGGTAGCAAACTTTAAAATTATATTGTTAACGTCAGTTTTTGTAAAGCATATGGTCTTCTTCAGTAAAACTCAGGAAGAACAAAATATTGTTTTGAGAAAAAAATCTCTGCTTGGTGCAAGGAAAATTCGGTTGGTGTAAAATTACTGTCTTCTTTTGGGTATTCTAAATTGTCAATGTCAGGTTATACCTGTGATCACTTTTAGGTTTCCTTTTTGCCTATTCACTCGTGTGTCTTCTCTTAAATTATTTCATCAGCTGACGATATCTTCAAGACTTGCACCTTGTGTAAATTCGAATTATAATCTTTTGTTCCTATATCTCTCTGTTTTATAGATTGCTTAAAGAGATTTCTACTCATAGTTATTTTGGACTATATGTTTTGTTGCCATAATTTAAATTGTTGAAGTTTCGTGTTTTTGGTGTGCAGATTTTGATTCAGTGTGAGCAGCACCAAGATAATACGGCTAACCATTCTGTTAGAATTGAAGGTGTGCTTGTTGATTAAGTGTTTGCTGGCACAGATTATTTAATGCATTCAGTTTAAAGCACTCCTTTTAGATACAAGCCAGTGAAATTCAGTTGCATGACAGCCCAGACTGAATTCACCCTTGCCCGCCCTAATTTCCCCCTCTTTTAACTGTTTTAGCATGCTCACATGCTGATAACTATGCAGTTAACATAATTTTAATATTAAATGCTGAAAATTGGAGAACTGATGATAAAATTATACTTGAAGGTCAAAATTAGGATTTATTTGTCAGACTTCATGTTGTTGATTCCTTTCTTTCGTTCGTTCTTTTCTTTAATTGATTGAATCCTTTTTGGGGTTTGTTTTCCATATGCTCTTTTTTGACAGTGTCATAACTGGCTACAACGTTGCGCCCATGTTATTTTGAATATCTTCTTATCCCATGTTTAACTGAAGTTGGCAAATATTGAGCTCCTTTTTGTTCTTTCTTTGACCTGCTTCCCCTTCTGCATTATGACAATGACAGACAAGCTGAGATCTGCAATGCAGTATTTCTCTGAAGATGGTCTAGATGGGGAGACTAAACATTCTCAGCAAATGACTAGGTGTTCACTTGTCTTGACGTAAGTTTTTGCTGCACCATTTTTTATGTTCTATCTTTTTAACTGTTCCTAAAGCTTCGTTACTTCAATAACCATTCTTGCCTAGTATATTCCCTCAACTTTCTTTGTTCTCTAAGACCAAATGTGATTTCCTCAGAATTCTGACCCATTTCTGCCTTTGATGCTGTAGAAATGGGGGAGTTAACCATGCTTCATATGTACATCCATTTGTGTACAGTAAATTGTTGCAGACCAAAAATGACTTGAATGAGAAAACTGCATCTCATCACTCTGCTGGTACATTCATATCTTACTTCGTTTCCTGTCTTTTACCGGTTAAGTTCAGGTGATTAATTACTTGATTGGCAGATTTTAGAGGTCGGGAAGCTTCCCAGCTAGAAGCATCTTCTAGTTCAGGGATCTGCTGTATTAACCACAATCAGCATGCAACTTCTGGCAACGGAGTGAATCTTGAGCAATTGGTCGGAGCAAAAAACCTAGGAATGCTAAAACTGTCTCCTGCAGATGAAGTGGAAGGAGAACTTATTTATTACCAACAAAGAATACTTCATAATGCTGTTGCTAGAAAGCGCATAAGCGGTCTCTACTGTTAACTTTGTCAAACTTTTTCTACTTACTGATTTGTGGCTTGATTTATATCTGTTTAAATGGTACTAAGTTTATTACCCCTGCTGTTACTATCTTGTCAGATGATTTGATTTCAAAGGTTGTGAGGAGTCTTCCACATGAGATAGATGCTGCAGGAAAACAAAAATGGGATGCTGTATTAGTTAGTCAGTATAATCACGATCTTAGGGAAGCGAAAAAACAGGGAAGGAAAGAGCGTCGGCATAAAGAAGCTCAAGCTATATTGGCAGCTGCAACTGCTGCCGCTGCAGCTTCCTCTAGGATATCAACAATTAGAAAAGACACCTTAGAAGAATCTCAACAGCCAGAGGTTGTTATTCTGCTCAGGATATTTGATTTTGGATGTTCATTTCATTTTCAAGTTTCACTTATTTATAGTCATTTTCGTGCAGGATCTTCTGAAGGTGGATGTATCTGATGTAAAGCCAGGGCTGAATCCCAGAGTGAAGGAGACTATTTCTAGGTCGGTTGTTGCAAGGTCGAGTTCTGTCCGTTCAGCTACAGACGTTGCCAAAGGTCAACCTAGGACCTGTGACATATGCAGACGCTCTGAGTCAGTTTTGAATCCAATTTTAATATGTTCGAGTTGCAAGGTAACTTTTGCTCTTGTTTTGTAAAATGTTGATGGTCTGTTTGAAGTTTAAGATTACGAGATTCTGCATTCTCATTGGAAGATATGAATCACATTAGTGCTGTTTTGTTCATTTTTTTTCTCTTCGGGTAACAGGTTGCAGTTCACTTGGATTGCTATCGTAGTGTCAAAAGCACCACAGGCCCATGGCATTGTGAATTATGTGAAGATTTATTTGCTTCTCGAGATTCTGGAGCTTTGGCAACAAATCCTTTGGAAAAGCCTTACTTTGTTGCAGAGTGTGGTTTATGTGGTGGCACTGCAGGAGCTTTTAGGAAGTCATCAGATGGTCAATGGATACATGCCTTGTGTGCTGAAGTAAATAATACTCTCCACCTTTTCTACTTCATTTTTTTTCCGATCCATTTTATTCTCCTCAAATTTCATGTATTTTCATTTTGATCTCTATGTAGTGGGTGTTGGAATCATCATATAGAAGGGGGCAAGTGGATCCTATTGATGGAATGGTAGTGCATTATATCGCTATTCCTTCTCTTTCATTTTGATCTTTGACTGGCCCACGCAATTTTTTAATATTCACTCAGTTCTATTCCTCTTCCAGAATAGCGTCCGCAAGGGAGTCGATGCTTGCGCTGTGTGCCGTCGCAAACAGGGTGCCTGCCTTAAGGTGAAAACTCTAAGATATATGATTTGCTGTGTTGTATATTTGAAACTTCGTTTCCCTTCAGTGGTCATATTTTTTATTGTGATTATCTGCAGTGTAGTTATGGTCACTGTCAGACCACATTTCATCCTATTTGTGCTAGAAGTGCTGGTTTTTTCATGACTGTGAGGACAAATGGTGGCAAATTGCAGCACAAGGCCTACTGTGAAAAGCATAGCACAGAACAACGAGCCAAGGTTTTATCATTTTTATCCCGTCTCGTCTCATTTCCGATCTTGATAATTCGCATGTAAACTAAAGTTATGGTTTCTTTTTCTTTCATGTGCTTCTTCAGGCTGACACACAGAAGCATGGGATTGAAGAGTTTAAGAGTCTCAAGCAAGTCAGGGTAAGTGATCTTCGGTATTATCTCTGTGGTTCTCATGTGTTCGTTATTATTTTAAGATAGGGTTTTGGGTTAACAGTACAAAGTCTAAATCCACATTAATAATTATCCTAAGATAGAGATTATTATTGTATGATAATCCGACTCGAGTTTTTGTTGATTAATAATAATATTAATTTCAATTTTTTCCCCTTTTGTGAAGTTTGATGATATTTTCTTAGTGTCACCAAATCGAATTTTTTTCCCTTGAAAGTACAATAAATCCGTAATAGAAGATTAGATTCCTGCAAAATGATCTTTCCTTTTTATTTTGTGAATCGAGATTGAATCAGCATCAAGAATATATTACAGTTATTTGGTTACATATATATATATATATATATATATATATATATATACGATGATCTGATGCTTGTCTGTCGTTGATTGTCTGATATAGGTTGAATTGGAGAGATTGCGTCTTCTATGTGAAAGAATTATCAAAAGGGAGAAATTGAAAGTAAGCTGACCACTGCAAGATTTTCATATTTACATGGAGGTTTTCCAATTCATTTATTTTATTTACTAATCCGTTCAAATTTTTCTTCTTCGTACTTTTCCCTTTGCAGCGTGAATTGGTTCTATGCTCACATGATATTCTTGCTTCAAGTAGAGACTCTGTTCTGTCTGCTTTGGCTCGTCACCCATTTTACCAACCTGAAGTTAGTTCCGAATCAGCTACAACCTCCATTAAAGGTTACACAGATGACTATAAATCCGGCGAAACTGTGCAAAAATCAGATGGTATAACAGTCGACAGCACAGTTTCAGGTAAAAGGCGTGTTAAACTTCCAATATCTCTGGACAATGACCAAAAAACCGATGACAGTTCAACATCTCAAAACCTTTATACACTAAAACCAACGGATAGGGTTTCGTTTTCCGGAAAGCAAATTCCCCACAGACCTGTTGCATCTCAAAATCTTCCGGAAGATATTGAACAACGATCAAGATATAGAAAAGTAAGTCGTACTATCGTATATATGAACTAATTATACTTATATTATACACTTTTTTGACTCGTGAATAATTGATGATGTAGCAAACGGAAACATTTGAAAAAGAGCTTATTATGACATCCGACCAAGCGACTATGAAGAATCAGCGTTTACCGAAGGGATTCGTTTATGTTCCCATTCGAAGCCTATCGAAAGATAAGGAGGCTGTTATTCCAGAACGAAATGGATAAAAAAAATTGAATTCTTGATTCGGGATTCGAATATTATCTGCTTGGGCACATTCAGACAAGTACAATGATTCGGCCTACTAAACGCTGAAAAAATGGACTCGCGTTGTTGTATATGCACATGTGTCAAGCGGGGTGAGTTTTTTTTGGTTTGTCGTTGTATGTATCTCGAGCGGCTTATAGTTTGTTTAGCCATGTTTGCCTTTTGTTATTTTTTTTTTCGATTTAATTTTTGTCACTTGTTGATTAAATTTTAATCCCCTTAGTTAGAAAAAAGAAAAGCAGTGTAGCTAATGTAATAATTGTATTTAGTAGTCTGCTTATGGGCTTTGTAAAGTTTGTGTATATAGTGACTCAAATGAATAGTTAAATCAACTAGCCCCCCACAGCAGATTGGTAAAAGGCTAACTAATTTCTTAGTGCTGAAGCTGTACTTGTATTTTTTATTTTAACCCTGCTTATGGATAAATTATTGTGGATTTAAATATTTATTGTTGAAATATTGCCTAATTTTTTAAAATTAAATTAGATATTATATTTTAATTAAAAAAATACATAAATAAATAATTGAGCAAATTATAAAGTTGGGCCGACTCTGTAATATTGATTATTTCTTGGGCCGTAATTTAGAAAAGCCGGCCCAGGACATTTATTGAAAACATTAATGAAGAAAAATGGAGAAATTATAGTTTTCACCCCATAAGTTTGAATTTTTGGTCCTTCAAGTTCAAATAATTGAACATTTTTTGTCTCTTCCGTCAATTTATCGTCAACTGTTAGTTAAGGGAGTGATGGACACACGTTGATTCGTTAGTTTTAACGTAAAATTGATGGAAGTTACTAGAAACGTTGAATTTTTGCAACATAATGGACTAAATGTGTTTTTTGTGAACATGGGGACTAAATTTAAAATTGGTGCAAACTTGAGGGACAAAAAATGTATTTTCCCAAGAAAAAATTATAAACCTTAAACAACATAATTAATTACTTAATTAGTAATAAATAAATAAATAAAACTATTGCGTTAGCTGCTAAAGGGCCAGCAAGCCAAGTCTCACGGTTAGAGAGAGGAAAAGCGAAAAAAGCTTCGATTCGATTATCAAAACTTCATCTTCAATCGATTCGCCAAAACCTAATTTGCCGATCAGAATCGTTTGAATTTTCAGAGAAAGAGAAAGCCGGGTGTTGAATGGATTTGGGGGAGATGTTGGCAATCTTCGGACCCGGCATCTCCGGGGCAATATTCGGAGCCGGGTGGTGGTTTTGGGTGGACGCCGTCGTTTGCAGCTCAGTCAAAACCCCCTTCGTCCACTATCTCCCAGGTAAATTTTTTTTGTATGCGGATTTTATATAAAAATTAGGTCTTTGTTTTATTCAAAATTATTGTGTGAATTTTGGTAGGGATTTTTGCATCTTTGGCTTCTCTCATGTTCAATTGCGTGAGGAAAGAGGATATTGATTACTCGCCTTACGAAGAGGGTGAGTGGAGGTTAGTATCATGGCTTCTTCTTTGTCAATCATAACCCTGATTTTTATTTTTTTATTTTTTTTAATAGGGTTTCTTGGATTTGAATCGTTGTATGTTTATGATTTCCTTAATTTTAATAATTGTAGTAACAATAATAAAACAAAGTTGAATTGGGGTGTTAATTTTGATCAATGAGAAACGTTGAATGAGTTTCTGGAAGTGCACGATTCTTTTGATATCTTCGAGAACTAAATGATTTTTTTCGAGAAACTCAACTAATTCAAGTGATGGATTCCTAATTAAGGAAGTTTTTGTTATTTTAAATAAATTGAGAGAAATAATGCATTATGCAAGGTGATTCACAAACTATACTCGCTCCCACCTGCACCATGTTTGTGCAACTGTTCATTCGTTCGCTCGAGTTTGAGCTGTTTAAGTTTCTTAATTGCAGGTTAAAACTTTGGCTTTTCATTGCGTATGTTGTTTCGTTCGTCTCATTAGCTGCTTCAGTTGGGCTATTGGTACAAGATTCCGTGGTCGCAACCGGTCCTTCATCATGGACTGGAGTTGCAGGTGTTCTTCAATGTGTGTTTATACTGATCAGGTAAAATTTGTTATCCAAAAAGATCATCTGCAACAACTGCCCGATTTCTTTATTTTCTTGTTTATTAATTTTCGTTTGTTTTTTGTTTTTGCAGTGGACTGATATATTGGGTTTCTCATTCAGAATGAACTTCTCAATAGAGTCTCCTGTTGGTAAATTGTGATTGTTCGTATGCGAAGATCCAAGCATGTATATCTGTTTTCGTTGTTAATATATTCTGCAGTTGCCTTCGATTGATGTTTGTTTTCTTCCTTTGATTTTCTTTATTATATTTTTATGTGAACTGGTTAAAGAAGTGAAATGAAATGGGGTGTCAAATTCTTTTGAAGGAGGATAATTATTTTGATTTGATGTTGATTTATAATACCATTGATTAGAATATGTTGATTGGTTTCGATTGCATCTTCCACCCTAAAAAAAAGTGCCGAAAAATAACAAGAGCTAAAAAGTATGCTACATACGCCGCAAGTGAGAGCTAAATTAGCACATTTCTTCAACCTGTAATGCCTAAGCACAATCAGCACAGTAGCTATCGAGACTACAACATGGCCGGATTAATGAAAGAACGAAAGCAGCTACAAGAAGCAAAAATTAAAACAAACTGTAACCAACTATTTTCATTCCATTTTTTCTAGCCGTAAAATGTATCAAAAACATTGTAACTTTCTTTCACCTCTTGAGAAGAAGAAAAGGATAAAATATGGCAAAACGATTCTACTTGCAACGTAATGTTAAACGTAATCCTAGTACATTCTTCGCTATTCTAGCTTTCGGACATAGATCTCATCAGCAATCAAACTTGAACCAGATTTGGATGAGCTTGTAATAGAGCTTGGACATACTTTCTAAGATGGCCTCCTGCTCATATACTGCAAAGAAAATTAAACTACAGTTAATTTTATTCACCAAAATGAAGTAAATTTCAGTGACTAATATTAAAAGATGAAAGAGAATGATGTACCGAGCTCGAAATAAATTAGTACTAAATGCACTCACCTCTTGATAAAAAGCATTAATCTCTTCCTCTGTCAATCCTTCATCTTCCCCACCGTTTTCCTCCCAACCAAGAGAACGAAGAAAAGCTGCCTCTTCTTCATCTGGATAAACCGATCCATTAACTGAGAAGCTTTTTTCTCCGGCATCAGAAGAACTTCTATTCTTCTCAGGAATCTCACATCTCTCACCATTGCAATTCATCTGTTTACCATTGCAATTTTCTCCAGAAGTATCTGCACTGGGAGATAAATCAGCCGAACTTGAACCTGAGTGAACAGTTGTAGTAGCACATGGTGAGGTTTTTCTTCTCATGAGTTTAAAGAATTCACTTCTGCTTTGTGCCAGAGATTGCAAAGATCTCTTTTCTGTAGTAGATCTGGAACTTAGTGAAAGTGCAGCAGTCTTGTTTTCAAGAGCAGAGACCACAGAGTTGCTTAGACTAATAGATCCTGTTGGAGCCAATGGAGCTGTGGCCAGCTGTCCATCATTAGTTACTTCACCATTAGCATTATCACCATGTGTAACACTCTCACGTCCTGGTTTGAGTACCAAAAACTTTCCGACGTGAGAGGTATTTGCAGAATCAGACCTGATTTGTCCGGCACGAGGTTGGTTAGCAAGATGAGATGCATGGGGCTGTGGATGGATACCCCTCGAAGCCACAGTGGTCTCGTTAGCTCTCGTAACAATCTTTGGTTGCTTTGATTTATCCGCAGAAGGAACCTGAAAAACAACATTCAAAACTATCTTTATTACAACAATCAAAAGATAATAATATGTAATGCTCATTCAAACACATTGCCGCACCCAAGTTGGCAGTGAGTAAGTGCAATATTCCCAACAATATATAAAGTTCTAATGCATTTATTGGGGCTCGGACTTTTAAATCGATTATGATTATGACGATTGATGGCACCTCTACCGGACAAAACGTATTAAAGCCCAATTCAGACAATGCAACTATTGAAACGGCCAGACAAGGTCTGAATGCACGTATCCCCATCATTCGGAGACTAGGAGATTGGTGATCATGAATGAGAGATTGATAAAATAGTCGTCATAGATTCCATAATAGTCTCTCATTAAGCACAGGAGGTAACAAGAAACTATAACACTTTCCAAACCATGTTTTTCCATCCAACCTGTTGTTCTACTGCATAATATTTTCTGATTACCTCTATATTCTAGGTGGTACAAACATCAAAAACCATTTGTAAAAATATTATTATTTTTCTAAGCTGTTCACCACATTTACTATTTCAATTATGTAGTCTACGGAGCTGAGAAGTGTCTTCTATAAAACAGGCATATAAAACATACAAGTCAGTAAAATAAGAGAACGTGCGAGACAACAAGGCCAAGTGAAACTAAAAAATATTATGAGATCAACCAAGAATTTCACACTGAATTTATATAAGGAAATATACAACAGAATTACTCCTCTTACCAAGGCTTTAGGCATTGAAGATGTCATAGGAATTAGTTGTCTAGACTGTTTAATAGCCAACTCCTCAAGCCTCTGGCTCTTATCTGATAGCTGCAGCATTCATTAACGAGAACAAATCAAACCAGGTTCACTGCCAAAATATAACTACACAAACAAGTAAACGAAGTTGCACTTTAGTTACCTGGGAACTAGGATGAACTCGTGCTACAGGCTGTGACAATGCCTCAGCCATATTAAGACCTGCAGAACTGGAAATCCCCAAAGACGAATTGGAAGATGGAACAACACCTTGTTGAAGAGGAGAATGGCTGATGCCATTATTTGCAAGAATATCAGGCACCTCTGCCAAAGCAGATGTCCATTTCTCACCACCAAGAAACCCTGTGTTGCCAATCGGTAAACACTGAACAGCAGAACTCAAACCAGGAGATGAGACTCTCCTAATCCCAGTTGCACATTGCTTCTCTTCGGTTCTGAGGGATGGAAAATCCTTTTCAAACACTGCCTTCTGACTCACATTAAGATTACTGCCCCGTGAAACGACACCATTCCCACTAATTCGTGAGTTTTCTACTCTGTGAGACAACGGTTCAGCGGGTTTTCTTGAAACCAATGATTGGGAGCGTCTTAAGGCGCCCCTTTCAACTCTACTAGTTAGTAGACTAGCTAAAGGGTCAGAAGAGTTATGGTTCCACAATTCCTCGGAAAAAGTCTTCTCTTTCTCTCTGTCGCGGTTTTTATCCCAGTGGCTCCTTGAGAAACTACTATATGGATGCTTCCCAGAACCATTACTAGTCGAACTATGCCTAGGATTAGATGAGGAACTTGAGGAACTTCTGTTCAGATAACGTGGGCTATCTTTCTCGCTACTGCCCCTAAGAACTCTGCTCCTGATGGAGTGCGCAGAAGAAGAAACGTCTAGAAAAAAAAAAACAATCAAGAAATGGCAATTGAATAAAAATAACCAAAGAAAGTGATATTGGTAAATGAGTAAAAGATTACGTAAGCCCCGGTACCTGAGTGGTGGACTGAGCCACTGCCTCCAACAATGTTTCCTGTACTTCTCAACCATTCCGGTACTAACGTGGGTTCAGTTCTGTCCATCGGCACCAGACATGATCCAATTATTCTAGGAAAGCAAATTAAATTCTAAAGCCAAATCACCTTCTTGATTTTCCCCAAAACCGTCTATTTCTAAAATCCTGCTAATGCAAAAAGACCAAGTGCACGCCCTAAACCGGGGTTCAAATTAACTTTCAGAATTCCAAACTAGTTCACCAACATGAATTGCCCTTCTTTAAGCTACATACAATCCTCCGGCCGAGGAAAACGTCGAACTAACCAAGAAATTGTTTGGCCCCACTTCACTCCATCATTCTACAAACTCTCATTTTTCGACAAATTCACGTCCAACCACCACAATTAAAACCCAAAGCCAACCACTTCTTTCTTCCCCTCAAATGTCAGAGCCACAAACTAACAGCCCACAACGAGAATGTGTATACAGCAAAAAGGCAAAAAATCGAAAACCCTCAAACGAAATTTCCCCAAAACCTAGAATATCTCAATTGTAAAATTATACTCAGAATCCGAACTATCCTAGACAGAAATAGACTGATTCACACACGCGGAAACCTAAACATAATAAAAAGAAACACCAATAGAAACCGAACCGAAGAAAAGGGATCGAATGTAAACCCTATCCGCTTCCAATAACCGCCGCACTTGTAATTACGGAAAAACTTCGCCGCAACAGTGTACAGCAGCGGCGTTTACTTATATATTTCAGTCCGGAAAAACCGATGCGCGTGTACAATAGTTAACGTTGTGTAAGCAGGAAAAAAATGCAGGCGGCGAAAATTGAGAGAGATTTGTAATTCAGATTTGGGAATGTGAATTGCAGAGAGAGAGAGAGAGAGTCTAGTCTTTAGGGCTGGGCAGTGGGCATTTACAAAGACGAGAATTTGAGCGAATTCAATTCAAGGGCTTCTTTTGTATATATAGTTTGTACGTATATATATATATATATATCTATATATATATATATTTCACAAACGTGTTTTCTGTTTCTGAATAATGGAAACTGCCGATCTCTCTCTCTACTCGCAATTAAATTTTAATTGCAATCAAGAAAATAATTCATTTTCCAACAATAAATAAATAAATAAATTCGTTAAATCGAGTTTAAGTGAAATATTTTATGCACTCTAAAAATATGGGTTCAAGTTAATTTCTTGAATATACAATCTCCTATAATAGTTTGCAAAGACACTATGACCACTATTTAAATTCAATGGATGACTTTAGGTGGCATTGATTTATTTGAAAAATAAAATTGATGTGGTAAAATTCTAAAATTCATTATTAAAAAAAAGTAATTAAAATAATTACATGTCACTAATTGCATTGTATTTCACAATTAAAAAAGCGGTAATGCCAAATAGGCCAATGACTAAGGCACTTAATTAAAAGAGGGACATCCAATTTTTTTGTTTTTCAAATAAATCCAACCCATTCAAACTTATTTGCAAATAAGGAAAATCCCTTTATATATACCAAAATTACCCCCAATTCAACTCCAATTTCATGATTTACACCCAATTTAGCCCAATTTCATCAATTAACTAATTTTAACCCTAATTTCAATTTTGACCCCAATTTTAACCCTAATTCTTATCAATTCCACCCATTATGCTCTAACTTCTTAAATATTACACATTGACCCCGGATTTAAACAAATATATCACATTAACCCCCAAAACCTTTTTTTTCAGAAAATAATTTTTTTTTTTGAAATATTTTTTTTCCGGCCAGATTCCGGCGTTGACTTTTTTTTTTTTTTTTTTTTTTTTTTTTTTTAATTTTTGTTTTCCTGAAATTTTTTCCCGGCCCGCCGGGTCTCCGGCGTTGACTTTTTTTTTTTTTTTTAATAATTTTTTTTTTCTTAAAAAAAATATTTTAATTAATTTTACTGTCTTGGCTGCTAAATTACTGTCTCCGACAGCTATTTAACTGTCGGAGACAGTAATTTAACTGTTAATTGACTGTTTTTTTTTTTTCAAAAATATTTTTAATTAATATTACTGTATTCGTTGCTAAATTACTGTCTCCAGCAGTTATTTAACTGTCGGAGACAGTAATTTAACTGTTAATTGACTTTTTTATTCTTAAAAAAATATTTTTAATTAATATTACTGTATTCGTTGCTAAATTACTGTCTCCATCCAGCAGTTATTTAACTGTCGGAGACAGTAATTTAACTGTTAATTGACTTTTTTATTCATAAAAAAAAATTTAATTAATATTACTGTATTCGTTGCTAAATTACTGTCTCCAGCAGTTATTTAACTGTCGGAGACAGTAATTTAACTGTTAATTGACTTTTTTATTCTTAAAAAAAATATTTTTAATTAATATTACTGTATTCCTTGCTAAATTACTGTCTCCAGCAGTTATTTAACTGTCGGAGACAGTAATTTAACTGTTAATTGACTTTTTATTCATAAAAAAAATATTTTTAATTAATATTACTGTATTCGTTGCTAAATTACTGTCTCAAGCAGTTATTTAACTGTCGGAGACAGTAATTTAACTGTTAATTGATTTTTTTTTATTTTTTTTTTATTTTTGTCCTTACAAAAAAAATTATTTTAATTAATATTACTGTCTTGGATGTTAAATTACTGTCTCCAACAGTAATTTAATTGTCTTAGACAATAATATTAATAATATTACGGTTGGGAAAAATAATATTCATAATATTACTGTCCCAAACAGTAATATTACTGTATGAGACAGTAATTTAGTAGTCAAGACAGTAATATTAATTAAAATATTTTTTTCTAAGAATAAACAATTCCCAAAAAAAAAAAAAAAAAAGTCAACGCCGGAGACCGGCGGTCAACGGTGGTTGACCGTCCGGAAAAAAAAAATTCCAAAAAAAAAAAAAAAAAAGTCAACGCCGGAATCTGGCCGGAAAAAAAACATTTCAGAAAAAAAATTATTTTCTGAAAAAAAAAAGTTTTGGGGGTTAATGTGATATATTTGTTTAAATCCGGGGTCAATGTGTAATATTAAGGAAGTTAGAGCATAATGGGTGGAATTGTTAAGAATTATATTATTGATGGTATTTTAGACTAAAGACATGTGGATGGGCTTAATTGAGAGACTGTTTTTTTTGTGGACTAAAATGCATTTAAGTCCCATGTGATGGGCCTTTTTGCCATTTGCCCATTAAAAAATGCACCTAACTTTCCGTAATTGATTGTTTTCCCCCAATTCATTTGCCCTAATTGAGCTCTTACACTGCTCCAGCTCCACTGATTCGCGGAAGGGAGATTCGTCGTGAAATTGCGCGCTCAATCTCTTCGTCGGAATCAAAGAACTGCATTAATGGTTAACAATTCCTCTCGAAGTTTCTTTCAATGAAAGAGTAAAAGGATTATTTCCGTGTTTAGGTATGTTTTTTCGATAATTGTTTGTGAAAGATTTGTCTTTTATATATATATATATATGTGTGTGTGTGTGTGTGTGTGTATATATATATATATAATATTTGGATTCTTCTGTATTACATTTGTTTTGAATCATTGAACTGTTGGAATTTTGGATGGGCATTTGTATGCTTTCTGTGTTATAAGTACATTTTGAGCTTGGAAAAAACCTCGATTATGAACAACCGAAAACTCGAGTGCTCCGGTGAAACTTTCCGCAGAATCCACGTTAAAATCATCGGTTTTATGAACAACCGATTTCAATTTTAGTAGTTGAAATCTGAAAAAAATGAATTTAGTTTATGCATAAATTAAAAAATGCTGCTTCAGAATTATAATAATTACCGATGTTTAAAAATGATTCGAATTTTTTTTGGCTGCGTTTGTCGATTATCAGTTATAAGAATCTATGGATTGGTTCTCGTTTTCTATGGTAAGCAGATATGCTTCGGTTATGCGATCGTGTAGGCGTAGATAATTATGTCTTTTAAGGAAATGAAAACATTGGCAAAATCTCGTGTTGCGATAATTACCTACGTAAGGTAACGTAACCCTCTGTTGTTGAGTAGTAGTGTGAAAGAAGAAGAATTGGATGATAAAAACAAAGTATTTGGTAAAGTCAAAGATGTAAGTCTTCAATTTCGAAGCCACCGATTATGAAGAACTAAAACTTTTCTCCGGTTGACTAATCAAAATACTTATCCACTATATACAATACAGTCACCCTTCATTTGGCAAGTTGTACTATGATCACAACGTTTCGTTTTTTTTATTTTTTTCCTCTCTCTATTAACTGTAGTAAACTACGAGTAGCCTTTAAGGTTGTGTTTGGATGAAAAGATATTTCGATGTACATTTCTAAACAGTGAAGGTGAAGAAAATCATGGTTCGACGATATGCTAATTCGCTCGGTTTTCTGCTTTAACTTATTGAGTTTCCTCCAAATAGAACTTGTCCATTTTTTTTTTCTTGTTTATTATTATTATTATTATTAATTTTGTTTTTTATTGTTAAACTTGCTATTAATAATAAATCCAGCCTGGCTGTTTACTATAATCCTTGAGGAGAACTATATTTGCAAATATTAGATGCCTTTGAACACATGGAGCTGTGTTACGATTATGTTATTTATATATTTTAAAATATATGTGATTAATGATTATCATGTTCTGTCCAATTTGTTATTTTTTTATTTATTTTTTAGAAAAAAAGGGAAGGAAATTATTGAGAATAAAATAGTGATGTAGGAAGGATGACGTAAGAAGCTCGCTTGCAGTGCTGGCTATTCTCTATTAAAAATGTGATCTTTAATGGCCGACAAAAGAAAGGACGAAGACTACACCTTTATTTAATCATTTATTACTAATTAGTCCCTCTTTTTTCTCTTTTCCTCCTTTGACCAATCATCTTAGATATTCTTCATTTACAGTATCTATCTCTATTTCAGTTTAGGAAAATAATAATAATACAACTTCTTAAATAGAGTGTATACAAATTAAATCGACCCGAACGAATGTATATTATTCACGTTTGTTTGAGTTTTTATCGAGTTTTAATATTGTAATTTGAACTTTATTCGAGGCAATACAAATCGAATTCAATTAGTTTGATTTTATTTTTTTCTTCATATTTTTTTATTCCTTATGAAGTTCGAGCTTGATCGAGTTCTGTTTGCGGTGTTAACAAACTTAGTGCAAAGAGCTTTTAACGAATGATACCGACTCGATCGATAAATAATATTCATTATAAAATACAACTATACCTCTCAAGGGTACAACAATTTCGAATGCATAAAATACTAATTTGGAAATTTGAGGATTTATTTACATAAAATAGTGTATTAAAATGAATTTTCTTTATAATATAATATTAATTAATCGAGTATTTATTTTTGATAAATATAAATATTTTAAATTGACACAACAGTGTTAAATGTACTAGTGGAAAAGATAAAGAAGGGCTCTTCCAATCAGAAGCCAAGTTTGAATATTCTCTCTCTAAAATTTTGCTCTCCGCGTTTTCGTCTCTATCCGTCGCTTTTTACGCCGGTCTGTCGTCTCCGCCCCCCGCCGCCACCGACCCGACCCGGAGATAAGTCTGTTACTGCTGGATCTCCGAGCAAAAATCGCTCAGGCGGAAGCAAGGAGAGGCAAAATTAAGAGAAATTGAAGTTTTTGAGCACCGGAAAAAAAGAGCTCACAATTTCTGCTTCCGATTCATGGAATTTGCCTCACGCCATTACAATGAATCGCATACAGAATATTTTCGGTCATAGTTCCAACCGCCGGAAAAGTGACTCGGGCTCCGGTTCCGGCTCCAGCTCGAGCCCGAAGGCAGACAAGCCGAAGCCGAGGCTCGACCGGCTCAACGCCATGAAGAACATCAACTACGAGTACTCTCCTTCGTCCGCTTCAGCTTCTTCTTCGTCGTCGTCGTCTCACCACCCATCCGAGGAATCTCTGCGGACGCGGTCGCTCGATTTGTACGGCGGCAAGACGAGTTTCAGGATAGAAGGAATAGACGGCGAGATCGAAATCATCTGCAAAACCCTAGGGTTTGCAGGAATTGATGATTTGTCCATATCCCCCGAGGAGTACGAGGCGATGAAGGTGAGATCTTCCTCTTCTGCTCCTGTTAACTTCACTCAGACGGTCGAGCCTTTGGTAGATCGAAAAATGGAGGTTAATAACGATAACGCTGTTGAATTTTCAGATTCATTTAATCGGAAAATTGCAGATAATAGTAGGAACTATGAGAGAAGCCATGAGTATGGTGGTATCTGTAGGAATAGGGCTGATGCTTTTGGTGGTAGAATAGGGGATAGTGTGAGACCGAGTGATGTAATTCCAAGTGTTAGATCGAATGAACTCCGGGGAAATGGGATTAAGGGTGTGCGGCCGCCAGTTTTGGCACCACCGCCTTCAATGTCGTTACCTCAGATTGATAAAGAATGCTCGACTTGGGATATGTTCAGAGCCTTTGGTCCAGAAGGTGGCACAAGCATTTCGAGGTTCGAACGAGGGTTAGGTGAAGAGGACAACGAGGGGGATAGGAGGAGAAGGGGCATGGGCAGGGAAGAGAACTGTGGGCTCTCTGGTTCGTGTTCTTTCACTTCGAATGATGATGATTCTTCAGATACCACAACAGAGCCGTTGTCTAGTGTTTCACCAAACGGGAGATTTAGACGCGTTATAACGGATTGGCAGAAGGGTGAGCTCTTGGGTCGTGGATCATTCGGATCTGTGTATGAAGGAATCGCTGAGTAAGTGGGATCTCATTTTATTTTAACGGGTTTATAATTGCATAGAGCGAGTTGTTGTTTGTTGAAGTAGACTTTGAACATCAAAATAATTCTGCAAAATAGATTTTGCTCTAAAAAATCTTGAAAATCTGATCTGCTGTGGTTGCTCAGTAGAGCTGAATTGATGTCAGATATGGATAGAATAAGGAGTATCTCTGTTCTGATTTCTGAAACTTTATGTTGAGAACTTGAGATAACTTATGATGTCTTCTGTTGCAGTTAAGTTGACAAATGTTACATATATAGTTATATCATTTCAAAGTATGCAAACTCTGAACTCTATGGTTTGATTTGCTGTAGTGGTGGGTTCTTTTTTGCTGCGAAGGAAGTATCTTTACTTGACCAAGGGGAAGAAGGAAGGCAAAGTATTATTCAACTTGAACAGGTCTAGCAGCACTAATTATGCTTGTTGTTCATGTTAAAGTTTGTTTTCTGGCAACTTTCGTTCTTTCCCAGCTCATTTTAACCTATAACCTTATTCTTCCCTTTTCCAGGAAATTGATCTTCTGAGTCAGTTTGAACATGAGAATATTGTCCAGTATTACGGCACACAGAGGGTACTGCTTTCTCGCTTTTTGGATAATATTTCCTGTCTATCTAATATGCATCCCAGATCTCCCATTTCCTTGTCACGAGCGGCTTTTTATGAGATTCTTTCCTTTAATTTATTTGATCCGCCTTCAATTTTTAGATTTTCGTTTATATTGATGAAATCAATCCTTCCATAACACCAAGAAATAGACATACTGAGCTTCCTTCTACTCATAAACAATTTAATTCAACAAGATTGAAAAGTTCTCGACCACAGATGTTCTTTTTTTACATTTACATGTTAGATTCTCCATATTTACTTCTCTTGGTAACAGTGAAAGATTTGCTGAAATTTATTCTTTTCATTTTTTTGCAGGACGCAACACATCTCTATATATTTCTTGAGCTTATTACCAAAGGCTCCCTTTTGAGCCTTTACCAGAAATACACTCTCCGAGATTCACAAGTCTCTGCTTACACAAGGCAGATTCTGCATGGTTTGAAATATCTGCATGAGAGAAATGTGGTCCACAGGTCAGTTTAAATCTTAGCTATAAACATTTAATCTTCTGCAATGTATGTAGCCTATGTTGTAGTATGATTTTCTGATAGTAATTGCAAAATTGGAATTTCACTTCCTGCTCCCAGTGCTCTTTAGAGCTAATTCTTTTTTGCAATTGTTTTTTCTCGATTTTAATTTTCTGTATCATCAATCTTTCCTTCAAAAGAAACGGGGTTCTTAATTTACGAGGTGTTGTTAGTATTTGATTCTGTCCAAACTTCTCTAGTCTAGGCTATAGCATCGATTCACTAGTTAACCCCATGGCACTAATAGTAAATTACTTGTGGGGCTCATGAAAATGGTTGATGTTTACTCATATTTCTTTAATACTACGTCCAAAAAACAATGTCCAAAATTGACATTCAAATGTTCTTGAAGAAGTAAGACGACAAATTATAACCGAATTCGTATTAGTAGAGGGCAACATTACCTTGTGAAGGGGTTCATTTCCTATCACGACTACTTCATATATTCATGAATGCTAAAGTATGATACATTTCTCTCTTTTTACAGAGATATTAAGTGTGCAAATATATTGGTAGACACGAACGGTTTGGTGAAACTTGCAGATTTCGGTCTTGCAAAGGTTCGATCCATTCTTCTTCCTTCTTCTATGTTCAGACCTTGCATTGATTTTAAAATGGTTTGCTACAAATTTTATTCTTGTCGTAACTAACACTTTGTGATTGGTTCGTTGTATAGGCTACTAAGTTGAATGATGTCAAGTCTTGCAAAGGGACTGTATTTTGGATGGCTCCTGAGGTTTGACCCCTCAACTTTTTTATCTATGATTACTCTTTTGAAGTTTTTGCCGAGTGTCGGTTTAACTTTTGATGACACTTTAAACATGAAACAGGGATATAAATACTGAAATTTCTGGTGATTTAATATCATTTCATCTTATCTATGTGGCTGCAGGTTGTTAGGAGCCTCGGGTACGGGCTTGCAGCAGATATATGGAGCCTCGGATGCACTGTCCTCGAGATGCTGACTGGACGTTTTCCATACTCGAATTTGGAATGCGTAAGTAAAAGCATCTCACTAATTTAAACTTCAGAAAAGTTAATAACTAATAGGGTCTTCTTCATCAAGACACTTCCAAGAAATTGTTACTGTGTAATATTTTGATTAATTCTCTAAGCAATTAAATGTGGGTTTTTCTTTTGGATATTAACAAAATCTATAATTAATTTTTATATTTCATGCGACAGGCGTCAGCGTTATATAGGATAGGGAATGGTGAGAGACCGGAAATTCCGGGTTCTATTTCGAGGGATGTGCGTAATTTCATAGTGAAATGTCTACAAGTCAACCCAAGTTTGAGACCAACAGCTGCTCAGCTTTTGGATCATCCCTTTGTGAAGAGACCTTTGCCTTCTTCTTCTGGCTTTACTTCTCCTCACTATTTTCCCAGGCAGCAGAATTTTTAATAATCACAAGGTAAAAATGTTTTAGGAGTTTTTCGATAGTTGTCTTAATTTGTACCACTTTTTTGTTTAGTTTACGGTAAATTTTATTTATGTAAAAAAAAAAAAAGTTAACTGTGTATGTATGTATATATGTATTTTCAGCTGTAAGATGGTGTAGGATATGCATTTAATTGTAGGTGCTTTTGATTTTGCTATTCGTTGAATCCAATATTATCGATTCGTTGTGTTTATTTGATGCTACACCCGGAGAGATGAATGCTCGTTGATCATTGTTCAATGATTTTAGCTTTATTTCTGAGTAATTGTATTATTCTTTCACCGAGTTCTTAATTTAATGCAACACATTGTAACTCGGTCAACTCGCTTTTACTTCTAGGTTTTGCAGAAATACTGAAAACTATAAGTATCCCAAAATTTGAGCTGGCTTCGAGGGATTCATTAAAATTTCAATTTTTATTAATACCGATTTGACTTGAACTTGATTTTGACGTAATTCTAGTCTGATCTTGGCGAAACTCGAAACACAAAAACTGTGGTCATTTGGGTTGACTTTCTAATTCAACTTAAATCAGCCAGATTGGATGCTGTATGACAAAGTTATGCACGGATGAATCACATTTTGAATTCTAGATAACTCAATACATCAAATTTACGGGCAGTGTTTATTGATTCATCTATATCTTTCTCATCCGGCATCCAGTTTTGGACTCAAGATGTCCCTTCATCTAGATGTATAGTAAGGGGGAATTTGATTCATCTATATCTTTCTCATCCGGCATCCAGTTTTGGACTCAAGATGTCCCTTCATCTAGATGTATAGTAAGGGGGAATTTGGTAATGATCGCATGGAGAGAATCCTAAACGGCCCGGCCAGAACCACATGTGCAAGTTTCCCTGCGTGATTCAAGTTCGATTAGAAAAATTAACTCAAGAAACTATAAAATTATATGTGTCGTGTTTCGCAAAATTTAGAGTAAAAAATGATCAAAACCGAGTTTGAAGTCGAAAATGTACGTTTTACTCCTAGACAAATATATGAAACACTATTACAAGAATTAGTTAATTAAATATTATCTATTATTCTACACTTGAGCAAAAAAAATATTTAAATTATAGTCATATTTAACCATTGTGTAGGCCACTAAGTTAAACGTGCGCTCTCTCTCTCCTCTCTCTCTAGAGAGAGAGAGAGAGAGAGAGAGAGAGAGAGAGAGAGAGAGATTCCATTCTTCTCTCGCAGCCCTTAAAATCCAACAAATATTAATAATAAAATTATTAAAATCCATGATATTTCCCAATTTAGGAGACCGTTACAAAACAGAAAGACTACTGTGATTCCTTCTCATCATCGTCATCGATCGCCATACTGTTCAGAATCATACTACATTTTCAGGTGAATTTGTTTTCCCCATTAACATAAAATCCATGACCTTCTGTTTATGCTTGTTTTTTTTTTTTTTTTTAATTTATTTATTTCTAAAAATCCCCTCAGTATACATAGCATGATCTTAATTTCATGATAATTGATTTGTTTGATCCACCGTTTCTGGATTCCGATTGAAGAATTAGATGAATTGTTCAACGGATCCTCGCACTCTGTTACTTTTTCCATTTTTTCTCTCAAGCTAATTAATTACCTGTGTATATGAATTCAATCTGCGTAGTGTAATTATTGACAAACCTAGGGCATCAGATTCAGCTGGATCGTAATTTCTTCATTTAATTTACAGTTCGCATTAATATTGATTCGCCATTAACATCTTCAGTTTGAGCATTAAGTCATTAACTGCAATCATTTCCTTGTTATCACACCTTTTGCTTCATTTATAATCACATTATTCTCTATTGATTTTTCAAAAAAACAAAAATTGACCTTCGTTGCATCAAGCCTTAAAGGGATCGGATTGGCATTTAGAGTTTATTTCGTTGTGGTTAAATGCTTTATCCATTTTCGATCTCTTGCATTTCCCCTAAAGTCGAGTTCTTTGGCTTTTTTTTTTTTTTTAAGAATTTTACAGCATGAATCCCCCAGCAGATGACCTGGATTTTAAACCCGAGAAGCTCGGAGAGGAAAAAGAGGGCGGTGCGCAGTTCCATTGTGACCTATACGACACAGATCTCGTCTACAAAACAGCTCAAGAACTCCTGCCCGGTTTAGCCTCAGCCTGTGTAGACAACACAACCGGTGGTCTATTCAGAAACCCAGCTTCAGTTGCAGTCGACATCAGACGAGAAATGGTGGACTATCTCATCCAAAGAAGCGAAAACTACGTAGCCGAATCCGTTGTTGTTCTAGAAGGAGGTGCGAATGCAGAAATGTCCGACGACCCTTATGACATCATCTCTGACTTCATCGACGATTTCGCAAGCTCCAAACGGAACTTCTTCAGCAAAGTTTCGGGCTGGCTTCTGAGCGAAAGAAGGGAGGATCGAATAGACGACTTTGTGCAAGAAATGGAGATTAACGGGTTCTGGCTGCTGAACAGGAGAGAATCGGTTGCGCAGACCCTCTTGAAGAACGTTGATTTCAAGAATATACATCACTGCAGCATGAATTTTAAGTCTGCCGAAGATGTGGAGGAGCATAAGTTGAGTTGCGGTTTCAGGACTATGATATGCACAAACGAGGGTTGTAATGCGAGGTTCACCGCCGCTCAAAGTGACCAGCATGATTCCGTGTGTCCTTTTAAGATACTTCAGTGTGAACAGAAATGCGAGGACTTTATAATGAGGCGTGAGATGGATAGACACTGTATAACTGTTTGTCCGATGAAGCTTGTCAAGTGTCCGTTTTATTCGGTGGGTTGTCACTCGTCTGTTCCACAGTGTAAAACGGAGCAGCACCGGTCGGAGGATCTCAGCTCTCACTTGCTTTATGTTCTGCATGTTTCTCACAAGGAAGCTTCGACGGACGATCTTAAGATACGGGTTGAGGAACTGATCCAGGTAAGATTTCAAGATCTTGCTCTGTTCTGTCATCATTCCATTGCTTGGTAAAATAATTTGTGAATAATTTTTGTGCAGATATCTTCTCCTGGACAACTGGCAGTACCTCGTGATGCACGATCTTTAACCTTTGCTATTAGGCCTCTCGAAGCAAAACTCGGGCCGTTAAAAATCAACACTACTGCAAAGAGCATCGACGAGGTCAAAGAAGTGACCACTGATAAAGATGAGGAGTCGGCCAAAGAGGTCAAAGAGTTGAGTACTGATAAAGAGGAGGAGCCGGCCAAAGAGGTCAAAGATTTGACTACTGATAAAGATGAGGAGTCGGCCAAAGAGGTCAAGTCCGAAGAATCCCCAGCATCAGAGAGAGATGAGAGTGTGAACAACTCACCCTCGAAATCCGAATCACCGCCTAATAACGAAAAATTCGCTCAGTCGGTCGAAAAATTGGAAAAAGAGGAAGGTGTGAACAAAGCTGAAATCGAGACTGGGAAAGAAAAAGTGGCTCAACCTGTTATTAAACACGAACAATTAACAGAAGAAGAAAAGGAGCACATGCATTCAGCTGCCAACAGGGACAATCATGATGACTCAGTCGAAAAATCGGAAAAAGAGGAAGGTTTGAACAAAGCTGAAATCGAGATTGGGAAAGAAAAAGTGGCCGAACCTATTATCAAACATGAACATGTAACAAAAACAGAAGAAGAGCAGACATATTCAGTTGCCAACAGGGACAATGATGCTGACTCAGATGCTAAGAAATCATCCAATTGACAACCATCCATTCAATTCAACACTTGTTGAAGAACAAGATTTTCTTGGATGAGCTAATTTTGGATTCAAGATGTAAGTAGGGTCTCGAAAAACACATTTCAATTTTACTTTCTTACGATCAACGGATTTCGACTTTCTCCTCTTCCATTGTTTTTTAATATACCGTATACGAATAGGCTTGTTGTAGTTGATGCTTGTGATGAGTCTTGCACTTGTATTGATTGATTGGCTTTGAGCTTTTCATTAAAGGGCTTCCATGGTGCCTTTATGACAGCCATGGATTTTGACCTTTTCTCGTAAATGTAGCGATTTTTTTCTTGTCACCGTCCGTTGAGAATGAGTTATAATTCCATATATCTATTTGATTATGAACCTTTTTTTTTCTTTTTTTACATTCATTATTTAAAATATTTAAAAATTTGACAACCACATTAATCGGTATTTAATTAATATAGCTTATGTTCCAAAGTAAGTTATTATTCTTTCTATATATTCTCAAGTTGTTTCTCAAAAAAAAAATATATTCTCAAGTTAATGCAACAAACTGCAATTTATTCAACTCATTTATACTTCTAGTTCTAGGCTACAAGAAATAATGAAAACTGTGAATATCATCAATTTTTAAGGTATCTATTAAAGGATTAATTAAATTTACAAACTATTTATATATATATTTATGGTTGTTGAATAAATTATACATTGTAGGGCAAGTTTTTCAAATAAATATACAAATCCATATTACAAGAATTAATTAAATTTGTACGCATGCGTAAAAGTCTTGAATACTAACGCCCCCGAAGTAAGGTTTATTAACAAAATACCCCTCCTTTTTTTCATAATTACATCCACCCGTACAATTTGTAAATTTCTTACATTAAAACTCTTTTATTGCGTAGTTGATACAAGAAATTTACAAACTATAGGAGGCTGAACGTAATATCTCAAAACAAAAGGGATTTGTTTGTAATTACACTATACATCTCAGGGAGGTAATCGTAATTTACCCTATGTAAAATGATATATATTTATTTTTTTCAATTTACCCATTTTAATGCATATGACATAAAAATAGCATCACAATGTGGCGAAGTGTCATCATCCGAAAAATTAAAAAAAATTATAATAATAATAATAATCATAAAAAAAAATTATATATTTAGGAAAAAAACCTAAAACTAACGTGCGCCTTCTCGTGTGTGTGTGTGTGTGTGTGAGAGAGAGAGAGAGAGAGAGAGAGAGAGAGATTCCATTCTTCTCTCGCAACCCTTAAAATCCAACAAATATTAATACTAAAATAATTAGCATAAATTGGAGCAAACAAAGCTATCTCCTTCATTTCTGTTGAACATACACGAGCGCATCCTTATCGATCTATTGATTTCTTTCACTCACAGGTAAACAGTTTTTTTTTTTTTTTTTAATTACAATTTCTTGTGAATTTTTTTATTTTATTTGATCTGGTTAATGAGCATCCCATACGTAATTTCCCCAAAATGCATGTTTAATTGAAGTTTTGAAAACAAAGGAACGAACAACCCTAAATCAGATTATCGGGTTTCTTTTTTATGGGTCGTAGTTTAATTGGGGGTTTTTGCGAGGATTTGTGTTTGTTTGAGATAATTGCAATTGGAAATGTTTCAAATTATGGCAATTTCATATACGATTACTTTTAGCTGTGAATTTTCCCCCTTTTAGTTAGTGAGTGGAAATTCTGTTCTTTTATCTTGTTTGAACATCAAATTATGCATGTTATTCGTGATGCTTATTTTTAGTGAATTTAATTTAATTGTTTTTAGAAAAAAAAATATTGGTGTCTGTAGCCCTTGCATGACAGATTCTATGCCAGAAAGTATGTAAGTTAGCTTGGATGGATGGGCAATATGTGATGAGATGAAGCATTATTTTATGTTCTTACCCGAAATCTCCTCGCGTGTTTAATTTTGTTTATACATAAACAAGCTAACTCCTTTTTCTCGTTGGAGTTGTTCCTCAAATCAGGGTTTGTAATGTTAATGGCGAAATCCAAGAAACCGGAGCGAAAATCCGATTCCCACCACCACGGAATCAGCCTGCGTAAGCTATCGTCTCGTTGCATGAAGTCCTGTAAAGATGCCCACCACGACAAGAAAATAGTCGAAGCAGCGTCGGAGAAGAAAGAGTGGGAAGATGCACTATGCTCCGTATGCATGGAGTTCCCCCACAACGCAGTCCTCTTGCTCTGTTCCTCTTACGAAAAGGGATGCCGCCCTTACATGTGTGCCACTAGCCGTAAATATTCCAACTGCCTCGTCCAATACAGGAAGGCCTACACTAATAACGTTGTCTCGAAAAACGAAAATTTCGATTCCTCGAACGAATCAAATTGGGCAGAGGGAAAGGATACCGAAGCATCGTCTCAACTCCTTCCATGCCCGCTTTGCCGGGGCCCGGTCAAGGGGTGGACTGTGGTGGAACCCGCTAGGAGATACCTCAATGCGAAGAAACGGGCGTGCACGCAGGATAATTGCTCGTTTGTCGGGAAGTATAAAAATCTCAAGAAGCACGTGAAACTGGAGCACCCGTTTGCCCGCCCGCGAGAGGTGGACCCTACCCACGTGGAGAAGTGGAAGAAGCTCGAGAATGAAAGGGACTTGAGCGATGTGTATAGCACGATTAGGTCTACTATGCCCGGCGCGATTGTCGTGGGGGATTATGTGATAGATAGGAGCTACCGTGGGGTTGCGAGGGGTTACGATGACTATTTTCTTGATGATGACGAAGACGATGATGTCATCGGGTATGGTGGTCGTGATAGGTGGAATGGGCGTATATTTGGTCGTGGTGGTTTTGGTGTGGATTATGATTCTTTTGATGATAATGAGGGGGATTTCGCGAGGCTGAGGGCTCGAACTGGGGTTGCTTCTAGAAGATTGGGGAATATTCCTTCTTCACAAGGCGGCGGCTCGAGGCCCCGTGCCAGATTGTTGGTTGCTAGAAGGGCCGCAAGGCTCAGAGGGGGGCGGTGATTTTTTTTTTGTGGGCCCTATATTGCTATGAAATGAAGGTAGGTGAATCGGGGATTGACAATTTAGGATCGTAATTTATGTTTATGTATGAACTGTTTTAAAGTATTTTGGGGGCTGAGAAGAGTTATTTATTGTCTCAGTTGATTGTTGGCTTATTCTCTTTTGTACAGAGCTGCTTTTCTTGAAACTATGATGTCTAGGGATTGAGTTGTTTAAAGTTCTGTCCGATTTTTGTCGATGCTTTGTCGTTGTTCGGAAATCGTAGACGAAAGAAACTGCATTGGCATTGTTGGTCTTTGATGTATGAGTTTTAGTTTGTGCTTTCTGGGAATGATTTCTGGATTCTGCATATCTGCTGCTAATTGGGCTACAATTGATAAGCCCAGTAAAATCAGGATTGATATGAGTTCACTTTTTTCAGGCCCAACTTTACTCTAATTGGCCCATCTATAAGGCCCAATAAAATAATATTAATTAAGGCACATAACAAGAAATTACGAAGAAAAAAAACCCATTATGCACACCTAAATCTTATTATGTTTATGAATTTGTTCCCGGGAAATATTTGGAAAACTATTTTTTTCGTTTATTCGATTCAAAAAAAAAAAAGATTAACGAGTCTAGATTCATACTATTGTGTGGTTACATTAGTTATAAGCTTCGTGAAATCATGAATTACATTTCAAAAGTTTTGTAACTACAGTTAATACTCTATAAATTAGTACAGTCGTAACTAGTAAAATTCTATAGATTTAGCGAAATATTAAATTTAATAATTTCGTGCATTTTTACCTAGTCACGACCGGAAGAAATTATTATTCAAGCGATGTTATTAATTTATCGATGTTCTACTATAGATATTATTAAGTAATGACAATTATTTACAATACAACAAAAACAGGCATAAAATCATGTGCAAATCCCATAAAAAAACACAAATAATTGGCCTCCATTACAATTTTTTTAATTCAAATCAAGAATCAAACTTGGAGCTTGTTCTTACACATCATTCCATCTCCACTATTTGGTGGATTTAATGATTCCGACTGACAAATCAAAATTAAATATAAACAAAAAAAAGTGAAAAAAGCAAAATCATGTGAGTAAGCTAACCAATCAAACTCAAGAACCTTTCTTTTAAAGAGAATCTGGTCAATTTATTCCTTGTGCTACATTTCAGACCATTGATTCCAACATTTACAAACTTTGTTTTCATGATTTTTAGAGTATGAAAATTAAATAAAATAAATAAAATTATGTAATGATGAATCTAAAAGATAGGTACCTCAAATCTTTGTCGATATGATTATTGATGAATGATGATGAGGTGGATAAAATGGTTTGATTCTCATGTGATTCGATTCCTTAGTTCATACAAACAAATCACATACGTTAATTGTTTGGTACTTATAATAAAATTCCTTTTGTTGAATCTTTTATTGAATTATTTTCATACTTTATCTTCATTATTTTCTCATATCTAAGTATTTATTGGGTTTCTTTCCCTTTCTCATACTTTATTTCTTTTTGGGAAAATGTGATTTTAAAGAAGTCGTGCGGTTATATTTGTCGTTTCTTGAACTACGTACGTCATTAGTGACATTTTACGAGTGTTTCTTTCAATCGTTGGCTCATCAATTGTGTATTGTTGACGACTTGACGTTGTTATAAATTGGTTTTTTGTGTTATATATATCCAGCTAGTGAAATATTTGAAAAAACAAAGTTGTTACTAAAAGTGTTATTTAGAATTCTCAATTATACATACATGTATTAACCTTAAATTAAAGAACCCTTCAAAGAAATGGGTGATGGATTATTTACCTTAGAGGGTTATCATGACCTTGAAGAAAACACTAATTTTTCTTGATTTATTTTTACTACTTAGTCCGATAAATGTCGTTTTAGTTTTAGTCATAACATTTGGAATTCAAATGGAATTCTGATTATTTTCAAGTTGGAATTTGGCAAGTCTCAAAACTCGGGATATGTAGTTGTTCCGAGTTAGTTTTCTAATCCAACGCAAATCACCAAGATTGGATGTCGGGTGAGAAAGATATACAGGAATCAATGAACACCACGCACAGCCTTGACGTTTTGATATTATTTTGAAATCCAAAATGTAACTCATTCAAACATATATAACTTCGTCACACAACATTCAATGCAGTTAATTCAAGTTGAATTATAAACTAATCCAAAAGGGCGTGAAAATCATGTTCGAAGTCGATACGGTATTAGTAAAAGTAAAATAGTATTTAACATTTAATGTTCACCAATTGAAGTTAACAATTTTAAAATGGGGTAAATTACAATCACCCCTTGAGGTACGGTCAAATTACGAGGAAAAAAAAAACCCTCTTGTTTGAATAAATACATCTACCCCTCTCAACTATGAATCTTCTTACACCTCCACTCTTATGGTGTCAAATTCAACATAATCATCTAAATTCCGTAGAATGTGCTCTAGTTTGTACTTGTTTTGTGCAAAAATACAGTTTCTGATACACCAAAATCTGATATATACAAGCCAAAAAACACATCTTATGATCATTTGCTTCAAAATGTGGAGCTCGAATAGGATAAAACGGGTACAAAAGTGATAATATTACATATAATCTAGAAGATTACAATAAATTTGAAACGGCAAAGGTGGATGATACGGGCTAGTTTGACAAGTAACAAATAAGCACAAGCCCATTAGGGTAAGCCCAGTATGATAGGCCCACAACGAAGAACCCATGACGACTTAGCTCGCTATTATGAGCAAAGTCGCCGTATGGTGCGAACCTCGGGAACCACGTGGGAGTACCTTAACTCGCCAGCCCAATACCAAAACGGGGTAGAGCGAGCCCAGGACAATACAGGCCCAAGATACATGACTTGGGGGAAAGTAGAAACCCTAAAAAAGGAAAGCCTTGAAGGCCAAGCTTTCCTCATCTATAAATAAGAGAATCAACACACGCACACACACAAGAATATACACTAATCACTGTTACATTGCATACACGTTTTTTCCTCTATTCGGATCACTGACTTGATCGTCGGAGCTTTCCCGCCGGGAACCCCTCCCGGCGTTGCAGGTATCCTCACCGGAGTACGGACCCAGCTGACTTGAAGAAGAAGGAAGCCCCACGGACCAAATCAAGTGGCGCCGTCTGTGGGAAATTATTTATAAGTTTGGAGCACAATTTCCAGGAAAAACACCAGATATGCCCCTGGAAATCCAGATCTGAGCTAAGAACGTAGAGAAAATGGAAGAAGAAGGCACGATTACCCGAAACCTACAAAGGGAGCTGGATGCAGCAGCTCGTGACACAACTGGTGCCGATCCGTCGTCTGTTCTGAAGGAGAAGTCGGGATGCAGTTTACTTACGCCTGAGAAGGAAAGACGGATCCCCCTCTTCTCGAGTAGTCCTTCTTTCGAGTTCATGAGCGGAGAAGCCGTTTCGAAAAAACCACCTGCGGTCCCATCCCCCGACGAGCGAGCATACACGAAGGATGAAGTAGAGGCCATGATTGCTACAGCCATTCGGAATTACGCTCAATCTCTGCCCCAGGATAACCGACCTAAAAGAGATCTAAGGCGTTCTCCGAATGAAGGGCGAGCAGAAGACGAATGTGACAGTTACTCGGAGAATCGAAGAGATGATAGTCATGGTGTCAGAACCGAGATGGACAGCCTCAGACGTGATATGAACGAATTGAAAGCCCTCCGAAATGGTTCAACACGAGTTATTGGGGGATCTAGCCCTTTCGCGAGACACCTAGACAATGACCCTATACCCGCTAATTATCGGCCCATTTTGTTCGAATACAATGGTACGTCAGATCCTGCGGAACACCTAAGTCGTTTTAACAATACCGCATCCCTCCATCAGCTCACAGAAGGGGTGAAGTGTCGTGCTTTTGTCACCACCTTAGCTGGGCCGGCTCAGTCCTGGTTCGGTCTGTTGCCCCCTGGGAGCATACATTCTTTTGAGCAATTTGCCAAGGCTTTCTTAAATCAGTTTGCCAGCTCGAAGAAGTGCAAGAAGACTTCTCTGTCGCTGTTCAGCATTCGTCAAAAGGAGAAGGAAAGCCTCAGAAATTACATCAAGCGATTCACTTCGGCCACGTTAGAAGTCCCCACCACCAGTGACGAAGTGCTCATGGCAGCCCTTTCACAAGGACTGAAGGATGATGAGTTCTTCCGAGCTCTAGCGCTGGAACCCTCGCCTGATTTTGATAATCTGTTGGAGAGAGCATCCAGGTTCATTAACTTGGAAGAAGCTCGCCAGCAAAAAGTGGAAGAATCTCACCAAACCACGAACGCACGATTCAACGAAGTAAAGAAAGGCAAGGAGCCCATGTTACCTCGGAGGGATGCCAGTACTCCTAGCCGGACCACCACTCTAGACGCTAAAGGGTCTCGGTATCAATCATACCAACCTCTTACGGCCCCGTTGTCCAATGTATTATGTGCAATCGAGAAGAGAGCCGATCTTCGGTGGCCTCGAACCGCCCGCGGAGCCCCCCGACGAGATCCTACACTGGGAACCTTTTGTCGTTTCCATAATGAGTATGGGCATACGACCGACGATTGTGCACATTTAAAAGACGAAGTGGAACGTCTCATCAGAGACAATAAGATCGGAGAATTTGTGAAGATAGACCCTCCTCGGGGACAAAAGCGTGAGGCTCAGTTTGGGAATCCAGCGCGCGTACCGCCTCCACCACCGATGCCAAAAAGGGGATACATTCAAATGATTTCAGGGGGCCCTACGGGAGGAGATACTCACCGGGCTAGGAGACGCCACCTCGGTAGCCTTAAGAACCAACGCGAAGTCTGCCAGATCTCTACACCGAAGAGTCGTCAATACCCCACCATATCATTTGGTCCTGAAGATGAAGGAGATCTAGATGATTTCCATTGCGACCCCCTCCTCATCACAATTAACGTTGGTGGGTATGATGTCGCTCGCGCCTTCGTCGATCCAGGAAGTTCAGTCGATGTTATATCCTATGAGTGCTTCCTGCAAATGGAACTGGACCTCCCGGTTTTCCCCGTCACCACTCCGATATTCGGGTTCACAGGGGGATCCCTGACACCGATTGGCCAAGTTAAAATCTCTGTCACTATAGGGACGCCACCTCGGACCCGCACGCAAGCTGTTAATTTTGTCATCGTGGAAGGATCGCCGACTTCGTATAACACTGTAATAGGACGACCGATGCTGCATACCTTTCGGGCGGTCCCCTCAACTATTCATCAGAAGCTCAAGTTCCCAGTCGACGGAATGGTAGGGGAGGTCAGAGGAGATCAAGCCCAGTCGAGATCATGT